TAAAAAAAAAAAATTGTTATTTATTTGTTATTGTGTGTATACGATGAGGAGGGTGTGTGCACACACACTACAGCATACGGTCAGAGGGCTATTTTGTGGAGCCAGTTCTCGCCTTCTACCTTTACATGGGAACAAGGGGTTGAACTTGGGTTCTCAGGTTTGCAGGACAAGTGCTTTATCTACTAAGTCATCTTGACAGCCTTGGTACAGTTATCTTGTAAACTGAACAGAGGTTGTACACATGCCCCCAAACAGACACACACACACACACACACACACACACACACACACACACACACAGTCCACACTCAATATCTTAGTTTCTGTGGATCAGAAACCTGGACCTGGCTCAGTGTGTTCTCAGTCTCCCACCCTCTGCTTCACAGTGTCTCCTGAAGTTGAAATCACCATGTTATCCAAGACAGGTTGGGGTCTCATGTGAGGATCTAACTGAAGATTCACCTCCAAACTCTTCTGTGATTGTCGGCAAGATTCAAACCACTCAAGGGCTGTTGGACTGAGGGCCTCAATACCTCAGTGGCCCTTTGTTGGAAGCTACCCCCAATTCCTTGTTGTATGAGCCTCCCCAGTATGGAATATCCACCATCAAAGACAGAGAAACAGAGGCAGAGATGGAGAAAGATGAGAAGTTAAAATCTTCCCTCATTAGCCACAGTTGATCCCATCACCTTTGCTGAAATCGGTTGGACAGAAGCAAGTAAATCAGCCAGGGAAGGGATGGCATGAAGCATAAAAACTAGGAAGGACCAGTGAGGTGGCTCAGCAGATAAAGTGCTTGCCATGCAAGCTTGTGGACTTGAGTTCAATTGCAGGAAACCAAGGTAGAAGGAGAGAACCAACTCCCAAAAACTTGTCTGTCCTCCAAACTCCACATGAGCACCACGGCACACATGTGCACATGCACACACACATATACGCATCACATACAACAACAACAACAACAATAATAATAATAAAAAGAAACATTTTTTTAATCTAGAAAGGAGAGCTCACTGGGAGCCATCTTAGAAGCTGCCTGTATTAGTCACTTTTCTGTTGCTGTGATAGAAACACTTAGGGGAGAAAGGGCTTATCATAGTTCACAATTCCAGGTTATGGTCCATTACTGCTGGGAAGTCATAATGGCAGGAGCTTGGCACAGCTGCTCATATCACATCTACAGTTAAAAGCAGAGGGCGCTGAATGCACCATGCTGAGGGTTCAGCTCTCTCCACTCTTAGAGAGTCCAGGGCCACAGACCAAGGAATGGTGCTGCCCACTTGCAGGTTGGATCTTCCCACGCATTCTCAAACATACATAATAAATGAATAAAATTTTAAAGTACTTATTACCAGGGCTAGAGAGATGGCTCAGCAGTTAAGAGCACTGACTGCTCTTGCAGAGGACCCAGGTTCGGTTCTTAGCATCCACATGGCACCTAGAAACCATCTATAACTCCAGTTCCAGGGGATCCCTCCCCCTGGGACCCAAATTTCTTGAAAAGAAAAACAAAAGAAAGACAAGTTGGAAGGACAGAACTGCATCCACAAAGGGTTCTCTGACCTCCACGTGCATGCCATGGTGTGTACACAGACCCACACATGTAAATAAATAATAAATAAATAAATATTTAGATGGCCGATACGGACCCTATTGACCAGTGACATTACAACAAGTAGACTTCACTTGACCTTGGGGTCTGACACTTCGGCTTTTGTCTTTTAGATATAGTTTAACAGTGTTTAGTGCTCCAGGTTTCATGACAGGTTTCCTAAAAAACAGGAGTGGAGAACTGAAGGTGGTTCACCCCTAAAAAGACTTTAAATATGGGGCTCATATTTTGAGACAAAATGAACCACGTATTTAGAAAAATCCATACTCACAAGCCTGATTTTTTTGACTCTATATAAGTAATATCTTGGGCTAAACAAGATGGTTGCTGCATGAGAAGGACACTCAATAAATCTTCCCTAAGTGGTTTCTGTACCAGTAGAAGCTTAAATGATCAGCAGAAAAAAGCCCCTTAAGAAACAGCCTCTCAGGGCTGGAGAGATGGCTCAGCGGTTAAGAGCACTGACTTGCTCTGGCAGAGGACCCAGGTTTGATTCCCAGCATCCACATGGAGGCTAGGAACTGTCCTTAACTCCAGTCCAGGAGAATCTGAAGCCCTCTTCTAACCTCTGTGGCATTGCACAACACAGGTGAACTCACATACATGCAGATAATACACTCATACACATAAAATAAAAATAATAAATAAAATATTTTTAAAAAAGAAAGAAAGAAACACGCCGGGTGTGGTGGCGCACGCCTTTAATCCCAGCACTTGGGAGGCAGAGACAGGTGGATCTTTGTGAATTCAAGGCCTGCCTGGTCTACATAGTGAGTTCCAGGACAGCTGGGGCTACAGGGAGACCCTGTCTCAAAAAGACAAAAAAAAAATGCATCTGTGGGAGTAGAATGTGACCATTTGATACCTGCTTTATACCATATGGTTTCCAAATCAGGCTAACTGGTGTTTCTATTGCCTTAAATGTTTGTCGTTCTTGTGTGTGTTGATTCTATGAGCTTCCGTTCTTCTAGCTCTTTATAAAATATAAAAGGGCAGAGTAGACAGTTCAGTTGGTAAACTGAATGCAATGCCCGCGGAGGCCAGAAGAAGCCATCAGATCCCCTGGGGCTGGAGTGATGGACAGTTGTTAGCTGGGATTCAAACCCGGGTCTTCTGCAAGAACAGTCAGTGTTCTTAACCGCTGAGCGATCTCTCCAGCCCCTTGTCATTACTTCTTAAAGGCCTGTTAAGTCTAATTTGTGTTCCCCAAATGTTCTTGCCTTTGGGTCCATTCCCTGGAACCTAGTCAGCCTACTCCGTGTCTGGGTGCTGCTGGGTTGGACAGAATCTCAGGTAGCATCCAGGTACACGATCTGGAGGGAAGAGGAAGTGATAATGAATATAAAGCCAGAGGAGGGGCTGGAGAGATGGCTCCATGGTTAAGAGCACCAGCTGTTCTTGCAGAGGACCTGAATTCAGTTCCCAGCACCCATATTGGGCAGCTGACAACCACCTGTAACTGCAGTTGCAGGGACTCCTATGCTCTCTTCTGATCTTTGAGGGCACTGCACTCACATGCACATCTCCACACACGGGGACATAAGTACACACATAGCCAAAAAATTGTTTTTTAATCCTAAAAATAAAGGCTAGAGTTTATCGAAGAAGAGGAAGTGGTGTCTGTACAGCTCTATTGGAGGGGTATAGGGGACCCCAGAGTGGATAGCAGGCCCCAGTCTCTTGCTGTCCTGGACACTGCCTCCATCTCCCATCTGCTGAGATCAGCAAGAAAATCATTAGATAAGATCTGGAGTCTCAGAAAGCTGTGGTGTGGGAAAACAATGAAGCCAAGGTTCTCAATAAATGTGCTGCACAGCTGAAACAGCTTGATCATGAACTTTGAATCAGAGCAGAAAAATCACAGAGAAGGAATCCACAGGGAGATTTGAAAATGAAGAGCTAGCAGACAGATTACCATAGCAAGAAGACCAAAGGTCAGGCAGGTCAGATGACTCTAAGACCCATATTCACAAGAGCTGAAGAAAAAAGACACCACTCAGGACTGTTCAGCCCTAAATAGGACACGTATATCACACTGTCTCCTCTCAAGGTTCAGGGATCATTGCAGAAGAGGAGACAGAAAGAGTGTAAGAGCCAGAAGTGATGATGAATATACAAAAACTGTGTTGTCTCACACAGTGGACAGTCACAGGAATGACAGAGTATATGGGCTCCAGTGGGGGGGGCTATGGGGGGTGCATTTGGGAAGTGGGTATATAGATGAATGAGATTGTTTGGGATGTTCTGTGTGATATACACACACAAAAATCAACAAATTTTTAAAATGAGTTATATTTGAGGAAGCAGCATAAAAA